GTGTGTGTGTGTGTGTGTGTGTGTGTCAGTGTGCCAGTTTAAGCTGCCATCTTCCATTTTTTCACATCCATTTTCTAAACTGACACATACTAGGTTGTTTCTTATATGAGAGCATACAGTATGTCAAGATGATAGCATTTGTTGGTCCTACTCTATAATAGGCAAGTGTGAATTGGCTGTTTGATTCAAATTAGAAATTTAAGAATAGGATAATTCATAACTGGTTTCTAATCTGCAGTCAGAAGGCAAACAATTATGAGATTTAATTTGACAAAACGTTCATCTCAGATGTGTGGATGAAATGAAAAATGTGTTTTTTCTATGTATGGAACAAACACTTTGTGGCTCAACCAGATTGCTCTAAGAACTTTAGCTGAACTGAAACCTAGGACATCTTGTATTGTCCAGGTTTTAAATGAGACAAATCCAGGAACCTCTTACTAGGTAACTAGGGGAAAGCTGGTGCATTTTGCTTCTCTCTTCAGTACAATCTGTGGGCCTGCTTTTCCTCAGATCTTCTTACTCCTTCCTTACCTTTACGTTCTCTTTGCTTTGCACCACTGTCACTCTACTACATTTGTATTCAGGTGTAGCATTTCCAGTTGGTCATTCATGTCTCCTTCCCAGGTCTTCATTCCTGTTACCTTTGTCTATCATCATGCACTGCACCATCATGCCATCCCCTTCAATAATTACTGTCCCTCCATTGGAGGACCTTTATCTGGAATGCACACATTCCAGCTCTGCACCCAAATCAAATATGTGCTTGGGGTTCAGATTGGCAGAGCTTTTTGATTAGTTTGTCCCTTTTGGGGGGAAAGAGCCCCAAAATAGCAGTGGTAAAACACAGTTGTGTTAAGACTGTGAATTTTACTGACAATGCCCATTAGAAGAGACAAAAGTAGCCAACTTACCAATGAGTTACAATACCACGGAAAAAGTTTTGTACAGAAAAATTGACATTGCCAACATCTGTTTTGAAAAACAGTAAATATTTACAGCCACATCTTAAGTGTTAAGTCATTATTCATTACAGTCTATAAAATATAAAAGTAAATTTTGACCTCATTTATGTTCATTGCTACTTTGTAGTTAAAATAGAGTGTGTTCAAGACTAACTCATGTGGAGCCTCTAGATTTGGGTTGCAATATTTTGAATGATTATTAAGATGACAGCAAGAAGATACAGAAAACTCTAGTTCTCCACTGCAAAAGTTTTGAATGTCCCAAACAGTAGTGATTTTGCCTCTGCGCATGACTTTTCCTCCATGAAAACATGAATGTAAATTATGAGGAAACCAATAAAGGTCAAAAATTTCTTCTCTCTGAAAATACTTTTTAGTTCGCTTCTCTCTCAGACCCAAGATTTGGAGAATCTTGTGAAATCACTACCTCTAAGTGAAGTACAGTGATGGCAAATAGTTAATAATGGCCAAGGATTATAGGCTGTTAATGTACAGGTGGATCTTCAAGCAGCCTAAAACACTTTTTCCTTGGGAACTTCTCCAGAAAGAAGTATAAATGCTTTTGCGTCACCTTGCCTTTTGACAAGAGTGTTGGAAGAGGAAGGAAATTCTTATGTTTTGTGGTTCCACGCATATCTCTGTTTTTGTCATATTAATCACAAAAATTTCCTCTCTTTGGAGGACATTGTTCGGTGAATGTGATTAATTGCCACTCTAGATAACCAAAAGATCCTTGGGAGTACTAATATCTGTTCATTCATAGTTACCATTCTTGAATGTTTCAAGGATGTCCTCTGTCTGTGCCTTCCCAGATCTATTTCAATTCTCAGCTTTCCAAATGAACAATTGTACTCCAAGCACATCTAAATGTGGCAGCTATTTTTAGCAAAAAGAGACCCATTGCTTCTGACTTCCTGAAAAACAAAGCCTTGTTTTAAGGGTAGTGGAACAGTTGAAAAATTTGAAGCTGAAGCAATGAGTTATCACTTAGTGGGGCAGAAAACAAAGGTTATAATAGTCACACACAAAAAAAAGTCTGATCTCTCGCCACCATAATTTTGGAAACAAGCTATGAAACTCCACTTTCTTTAATCTAAACCCCACATGTTCTATCATGGAGATATTAACTCTGAACTCCCGATGCTGTAACTATCATTATTTCAACTATCGCATCACATGCCATCTTCTGTCCTGGTGTAATTTATAGCCTATTTGGCTTCAGCCGAGAATAGCACCCTGAGCAAGAATTTGTTATTCAAGTAGCTGAAACCCAGTGGCACCATTGTGCTCCAAGCTATTGGTATGTGACTCATATTATACAAAAAATCACAATACAAGGTTGGCAACATGCAAAAATAATTGGCAGTTGTTTGAAATTGATTGCTGCAAAATAGAAAAAGATGCTGTTGTTTCACATATTTTTTTCATTGTTTTACAATCTACCAACTTATTTTTAAAAGGAGAAAAAAGATCTTTATGGAAGAATTGCTGCATAGCCTGGGTAGGTAGAACATTTTCAAGTCACTAACTATACAGTAAAAGAGGTTATACACTTTGGCTGTCCCGTAACTAAGTTAAAATACTAGAATTTCCAACCACTACCATAAGAAAATGCTTTTCAGTGATTAAGACGCTGAGCTTGTGGATCAGAAAGATCGGCAGTTCGGCGGTTCGAATCCCTAGTTCCGTGTAACTGACTGAGCTCCCGTTACTTGTCCCAGCTTCTGCCAACCTAGCAGTTTGAAAGCATGTAAAAATGCAAGTAGAAAAATAGGAACCACCTTTGGTGGGAAGGTAACAGTGTTCTGTGTGCCTTTGGTGTTTAGTCATGCCAGCCACATGACCACGAGGACGTCTTCGACAGCTCTGGCTCTTCCGCTTTGAAACGGAGATGAGCACGGCCCACTTGAGTCATGAATGACTAGCACATATATGTGCAAGGGGAACATTTACCTTTATCTTTAACATTATTGGAGTTCCAGTGGTTTGACTGGATCAAAGAAGTTGTCATTATTCCTAAGATAGCTCAGTCACCTTTAGTTAAATAGCTAGGACTATCCCATCTCTGGTTGAAAGCTTGGAGATTCCCCAGATAAGGCAATACTTCCAGATATCTGAACCAATTTGCTCTGAAGAGCCAATGAACTTTACTATAGTTGGTGAAGGAACATCCCTGGAAGCAGGTTAGTATCAATACATAATGGAAGAAGGAGTTTATCTTCTTACGCTCCTTTGTTTTTCCAGAAATCCCACAAGAAGTTGTATGCTTTCTGCTTTTTTCAGCTCTGAATTACAGTATGTTCTGCCATTGGTAAACTGGACCCTTTCGTATTTGGGGGAGGGCACTGCTGCTGTTGGAGACCCCTAATTTGTCTCTCTTCTGTAGTATGGAATCCACCACTATAATTCTCAGGCAAGGTTGTGGTTTTGGATAAGCATGGCAGTTAAGTTGATCAGGTCTCCTGATAAGGGGTGATATGTATGTGTGTTACTCCTTTTTCTTCAGTTACATACGAAAAAGCATCTTAGCTAATTTTAGATTTCATTCCTACCTGATGAAGAGTGTTTGATTTTCCTCTAAAAAAGAGGAAATTTTTTTAACTTGATATGTGTTCCCTTTGGATGATAATATATGAACTGGTCATTGAATGGCTCTTAGAGAAGTTAGCTATCTGAACTATCCCTTGTATTTTAAAGCTATTATTCCTTTGCAGCTTACCATTATATTTAAAAACATGAAAGAGTGCATTGAAGAGAAGGTCTACCAGGCAGAAATGGACAACCTGCCAGTAGCATTTGCAGATGGTTCAGTGAATGGTGGTGAGAAACCTGGAGGGAATAGCTTAACCATTCATGAGCACATACCTGGACAGCACATAACAATCCAAGCAACATACATTGGTACCACCATTGCTGTGCGCCAGGTAGGGAAGCACCTGTCCTTCTCCATCCGGATAGCTAAGGAGATAGCAACCTCCTTCACAGATGAACAGGATCTCCAGTTGTGTATGTCAGGATGCTTTCTCAGCCAGCGCATCTCTATACATAACTGCTGTCGTCCAAAAGGCAGCCTGACCAGAAAGAAAGCTCGTCTGCTATGTAAGGAGAAGCTACCAGTTGAAGACATCTATTTCCAGTCATGTGTCTTTGATGTGATGACTTCAGGAGATGTTAACTTTACTCAAGCAGCACAGAAGGCATTGGAAGATGCCAGAGCACTCCATCCAGATTCCAAGAAAATCCATATTTTCCACAGTAATAGGACTTCTTATCCTTGCAGTTCATCCTTCCTTCTCTTAATCCTCACAATACTACAACTGTATATTTGAACATTTCAGTGGTGACTAAAAAGTCTAGGGGATCAGCAAATATGGTTTATTTCCTCAAATGGCTTTTTAAGTGCTGATAGATGAGCTACCCCAACCTGTTTTAAAACTAGAGTTAGGTGTCCCATTCATGTTCTTGTGTGGAAATCTCATTCTTAACACCTGGGACATTCCAGGAAGTTATGAATATTTATCTATCCTATAGTGATGAATGGTGAATGGGATTTGTATTCCTAATACTTCTTGGTGCAATTAATCAAGAGGACCTTGCACTATAATTCCCACATAGCTTAGTGATGGTTATCAACTGGAACTTTTTCTCTGAATTTGATGACATCCTTAGTTAAGATCCTTAATTACTAATAACAATCAGACGAAGGAAATATTTGGGTATTCAGTGGCTTTAAGTTTTTTTTAAAGATTTAGTGGAAACCTGAGAGAGATGAAAACTAATGGTAAATGTTCTTTGGCACCTTAAAATATCTGGACAGTATACACTGAATGTAGTAAGCTATTTTTTTCTTCTCAGCTTTCTGTTTGCTCACCATGTTTTCAGGTTTATTTAATCTCTTCTGAAAACTGGAAATTCACAGCTATCTACAGAAATAACACTGAGACTGCATTGCCTCTTTCATTAAGTTTTAGTTTGCAAAGTCAGTGTTTCTAGAAAACAACTTTGCTCTAAGTGTCTATAATGATTTGTTTATAACAGAGAGAAAAATGGGAACTCCTCAAAAAATGTAAGGGCTACTCAGACACAATCACTATAAATGCCTGAACTATAAATGCAGTCAGAAGAACACTTTTTCTTTTTTTACTCAATACTTGTTTTTCTTCTTCCAGACAAACTGCAGTTGTTTTCTTCCAATTGACAGCTCAGATTGTAGATTCTATGGAGCCAGATTTGAACCGAAGTTCCCAATAGATTCTTGAATTAGGTTGGCTCCATTATTAAAGTCAGAGACAAGATAGCACTTTAAGAGTATTGCATGTGGATTGAAATGGGTTTGCAGGGCCAATGCAGGTTTTTACAATGTCACAACTCCTTTGCACTAGTATTCACACACAGAAGCTAAAGTAAAGGCAATGTATATAAAATTTGTACTTGTTTCCATTTCAGTGTTCTGGTGCCCTTATCTGAATAATGTAAACCAAGAATGTATCTTAAGGATTATAGTTTTGGATGCAATTAAGTTATATGTATAAAATTTTATAACATATAAAATGTGACTTAAATATACAGAATGTTTACTCCAAATCAGTCCTCAGAATGTTGGTGATATGTTTATACAGATGTGTGATGACCCAAAGCAACATATTCAGTTTGGAAAAACAATTTTAGGGTATAAATGAAACCAGTTTAATAAAGTTAAACATTTTTTAAGTTATATTGCTTAGTAGTTATTCTTTTCCATAAAGGGAAAACTATACATCCATTGCACAGAATTCATTAGGGCTTGCTAGGGCTTAGTACTTGTAATCAGAAAATGATTGTTCTTCAGCAGAAATTTAATAGAGTTACCCTCTTATTGAACTGGTAGCAATTTGCAATATCGGGACATTATTTGATTTTCATACTGTTGCACTCACGTAACTATCAGTGGTTTACAATAAACAAACAAACCCATAGTACAATATTAATATATTTTCTTCATTTGTATGCCATCCACTTCTGAAGGCTTTTGGTCGCTAATCTTCATACATACAACTGTAAGGAGAATATTCACAATTATCTGGAACATATAATTCCAAAGGTGCTATCCTAGCTAATTAAAAAGAGCTCTATTTTAACCTGGAAGGTCCAATGTTAAACTATTTCACCAGGGTGATAGTGAAAAGGATTTCCTCCTAGTCTTGGTTGGCTCTTCAGATTACCAAGCTGTTTTTGTGGTTTATTGGACTGGTCAGTTCTAGTTGTAGAAAGTGGTGGTAATATACCTCTGGCCAGGGCTGTAAGCCAGAGATTTTCAAATTTAAGATTTTCAAATTTAAAATGTTGACTGAGTCCACACATCTTTGCATTGCTAAGTTTGAAAACTACTGTTCTAAGCCATACAGGGCTTGCTATGTTAAAATCAACATTTTTAAATTGTAGTTGGAATTCTTCTGGCAACCCATGTAGAGTTCACAGCACAGATACTAGATGTACGTTCATGGCATTTACCATCCATGCATGAGCTGCTCCACTTTATGTCAACTGAAATGTCCGAGGAGTATTTAAAGGAAGAATCCTCTCAAAAACTTATTAAATTTCCCAGCTGCAGAATTGTCTCAGTGAAAGGTTATTAGAGTTTCAAACTCTGGTGACCTTCTATTACAAGAAGCATCTTGGATAGAAGGCACAGAGAGTTCAAGTGTCATACATACATACATACATACATACATACATACATACATACATACATAACAATGTATGGAGTGTTGACTTTGTTTCAGTAATGATTGGTTATATGGTTGTATCATGATTGGTAGATTGGTGCTGATTGGTGCTGGCTGTGTGTCCATTGTTGTTTCCTGTTGTAATGGCCTTGATGGTGGGTGGGGCAGGATTCTTTTCAC